ACAGCCTTGGAAACCCTATGGGGCAGTTCTGCTCTGTCCTGTAGGGTTGCTGTTAGTTGGAATCAACTCGATGGCAACGGGTTTGTAGCTGGGAGGGGGCTCCGGTGGCATTGTCAGCCGAGTCAGCCGAGCCCACGTGTGAGGAGGTTGTGGGCTGATGAAGCTGGGCTGCAGGGCAAGCCTGGGGCTCAGGGACCCTGTCGGCTCACTCAGCGTGCCTTCCCCCCGGGCTGCCTCACCTCCTCCTGGGAGCAAACACACTCAGATCCCCGAGCAGCTGCAGAGCGGGAGCCAGATGCCACCCAGCTTTGTAGTTGGGGCAGCCGCTAGTCAGGACCAGAAAAACCAGGTGCTGTCGGGTTAATTCTGACTCACAGTGACCCCTGTGTGTGTCAGAGTAGAAACATGCTCCATAGAGTTTTTAATCATTGGTTTTTCGAAAGTAGATTGATTGCTAGGCCTTTCTTTAGAGGCGACTCTGGGTAGACTTGAATCTCCAACCTTTCAGTTAGCAGCCGAGCATGTTAAGTGTTTGCACCAGGCAGGGACTCCTGGTCAGGACAAAGCTCTCTTAAACTGCATCCGCAGCAGGGCCGGAGCCCCTCCTCCCGTTTTCTCTGCAAGTTCATTCATTCAGCTCAGTGTCACGTTTCCTGTCCCTGCTGTCCTTCACAGATACCGAGCTTAGGCTTTGAGGTGGGCCCCATCCCCTCACTTTTGTTCCAGTAACCCTTTGTGTTATATCAAGGTTTAGGCAGAAAAGTCTGTTACTTGAGAAGTGACTTTGAGATTGCTGGCGTTTTGTAAATCCCATGTGTAAAGGAATTGCGGCTCTTGGTGCTGCTCTCTGCCTGACTCGATTTCCCTCCGGTGGTGATTACACCTCTGGTAACACTGGGTGACAGCCCTGCTCTGGTCTGATGGGGCATGCTCTTGTCCTCACAGCTGGGCAGGAGTGTGGGGCCGCCCCTCCTGCAGCTCTTCACGGACCTCCTCCGGGGCCTGCTTGCCCACTGTGAGCAGCTGGACGCCCAGAACCAGCAGAGGTGTGAGGCCGCCCGGGCCGAAGCCGACCTCTTCTTGGACATGGAGTCCTTGGCGTCCCTGGAGCTGGCCAGTGACAAGGTACTGCTGCCTTCCCAGAGGGTGTCCTGTGGGCCTTCCTGTGAAGTCACAGATCCTGGCTTTTTCCCCGCATCTGGCATAAAAAAATAGTATGTGTGCTATTTATCTAGAAATGCAGGAGAAACCAGAAAACGTAGGGGAGGTAACAGAAGTGACCCCGATGCCCCCACCCAGAGGCGAGTGTGGTGTAACTTGGGTGTCCTCTCTGCACGTCCCCCACTGCAGGCAGCGCTCCCTGGTGGTGTGGGAGGCGTGCCGCTCAGGGACTCAAGGTGAACGTTTCCCCTTTATGTAGCTGCAGCCTGTGCTGAACG